GGAAACTCCCTTTCATCTGATTAGCTACTCACAGCCAATTCAATCATGGAAGTAATCATATATAAACACTGAGAATCATGGCCCAGCCAAGTTGCCACACAGTCTTAACCGTCACAAACATGACCCGATTTTCCATAAAGTTATAGTTTCAAGTGTACTGAGAATTACAGACAAGATGTTAGTTCCTAAAAATATTAATGTTGCACTTTGTATTATGCTTTAGATTTGGGATTCATCTGAGTTTGTTGACAACGTGGTTACCAAAAGAGAGAGAGAGAGACAGAGAATCGTTTTAAGTATAAAATTTGCTTCAATTACAAAAGAATGGATGCACATTCTAGAAAGTTCACAGAGAAGATATCGTTTTGAAGGAGATAACTGGTACTTGAGTACTCCTGACAGGTTATATACCTCTAAAAAGAAACATTGTTAATATATTTTCACTCCATTGTGTTCCTCGTCATCATAGTCAATGAAATTATACTAAAAATTACATCAGTTTGGGTTTTATTAGGGAAGCAGATCCCTGTGAGTAATATCAAATAAGGGATTTATTTTAGGGGTTATATTTTATACAATTGTGGGAAAGCTGGGGAAGTAAATATCCAGAAGGGGATGGTTGGCTGAGCAGAAAAAAGCCCCCAATCTGGGCGCATGACATGGAGCTAGTCAAAAAGTCTATAGGAGGCTCTTGCCTCCACAACTGACAAGACCTGTGTAGCTGTATACCAGTAGGACAGGGTGTCAAGAAACAGGCTGGGTGCAAAGTGGGAGAGAGCAAAGGAAAACAGAACCTATAAGGGCAAACTGGAGCCTGTAGGGGCAAAACCTGCATCTGCCTTTAACTGCATCGAACGCCAAAGCTGTGTGGTGCCTGAAGAAGGAGCTGGTGCCCTTTGCTGCAGAGTTGCACATGTGCCTGGCCCAGAACTCAGAGAACCTGAAACAGGAGAAGCAGCAGAAGCTGGAAAAGCTGTGGGCCCAGCTCTTTCCCCACATCCTGATGAGCCAGCAGAAGAGCAACAAGGAGCCTGACCTTCCTGGAGCCTAGAGCCCTGCACCCACCTTCCTCGCTCAAAGGCTACAGTTGCACTTCTATCTTCCAAATCTCATGCAAATTTCTCTGTGGCCAACCCTAACCCAGAATCATTGGTGGGTGGGAGAAGGAATTGTTTTCCAGCCTAACTAAGTTTAACACAGCATAAAACCACTACAGAAATAGAATATAACTGAGTTACAGAAAAAGAAGAGACTATAGAGATGATATACTTCAGTCTTTTCTTCATAAAGATGTGAGAATTGGAATCCAAAGAGAAGATGACTTGCCCAATGTCACAGAGTTAGCGACAGGTTTAGAATTCAATCCCATGAGTTTCCATCGGGGTAGTATCACAGAAAGAATGCTGGATATGAAGTTTAGACACTCAATTTTCTGACACAGATTAATTACTTGGCCTTGGACAGATTGCTCAATGTTTCTGGATTCAAGAGTTCTTATGAAAGAATGGCACATGGGCAAGACCCAATACATCGAAGGTACTCACTTAATATCCAATGAATAAATGAATGGATCTAGTATTTCAAGAATAATATTGGCTAACATTAGGGAAAAACAAACAAACAAACACTGAAACCTCGCTGCTTGGCCTCAATAGAGAGTATATTCTTGTAGATTCTTGTGAAATTTATCTGGGGCTAGAATGGATCCCTTGGGCCCTTCCTTCTGAGCACAAGTCAGATTTCCAATCTCTCAACCATGTAAAAATTAGACTTCCTATATTCTTCTTGTCCTCCCATAGTGACTTCTACTTGTTTCATTTGGTCTGAACTTTTCAGCAGGGGTCAAGTACTAGATAGCTGGAAAAGAGCAAGAGATTCTCAAAGATGGTGTTAGGAAGAAGGTGGAAGAATATAAACATTCTAGTTATCTCTTTCTGTGTTTGGCTCATGAATCTGCAGTTTGGGCAGGGTTCAGCAGGAATGGCTTACCTCTGCTCCAGGCGGCATCAACTCGTGTAGCTCAAAACCAGAAACTGAAATCATATGAAGGCTACTTACTCACATATCTGGACTTCACCTTGGGTTGTTGTCCAGAGCACTCACAAATGGCTTCTCCAAGTGGTCTGCTTCCTCGTGGCATGACAATTGAGTACCGTGAGTGAGCATCGCCAGAGGAACAAGCAGAAACTGTTATTACCTTTTATGATGTGGTCTCAGAAGTCACATATCATCATTTCTACCGTACTCGCAGATCCTCCCAGATTTAAGAGGAGGAAATATGGATTCTACATCTCTATGAGAAGAGTAAAAATGTCACATTGTAAGAAGAGCCTGGGAGACGGGAGATCTTGTTGCACGCCATCTTGGAGAACACAGTCTGTCATAAGCAGTGATCAACACCCATGAAGAATTTATAAACACACAGTATGCCAACTAAATGAGCTCTTATTCAACAATAACCCCATAAAATATGTTTGTACACACATAAAAATACATATACATATATAATAAGTACTTGGTGAATAAAGTAAATTCTTAGATTCAACTTGCTTCCAAGATGTTTTCATGCCTAAGGGTGAGAGCAGGGAACTGGGCCACTCAATTATTTTAAAATAAAAATGCTTCACCTTCATCATCCATCTATTCTCTGGGAAAATAAATTAGGCTGCTGAATTTTGGACCCATACCATTTCCATGGTAACAGAGCCTAAAGTGTGAAACAGTGAATTATAATCCCTTGCAATATTTAAAAAATCTATTTATGGTCTGTGTGGTGTTTACAAGTGCACTTAAGAGCAGTGGATAGCACTACCACTAACACACACACACACACATTCACACACAAGGAACATGATTTTTTTTTAAATGACCTTCAGAAATAGTGACAAATGGTTAATAATAAGATTGTTCAGCTTGGTGTTCTTAGATCTGCCTTGAGCCAATTTTTTTTATTTTTATTTTTGATCTCAGTTAGGTGGCATTATAAATAATCTATTTGAGTCCTAGAAAAAAAGTCAACATAGGTATGGAAATGAGAATAATTAGGGTGTTTGGAAACTACAGGTAGCTCAACATAGCTGCAGAGTAGAGTGTGTCTAAAGGAAAGTAATAAGACTGAACACAAGGAACTTCAGGACTTTTAATTATGAAGGATCTCAAATATACAGGAAAGTATAGAAAATAATGATACCCACATACCTACACATATACTTAGTAGCTATTAGCTGTTCGTCAGATTTTTCTTAAATCTCTTTTCTTTCTATATAAATAAAATATTGACTATTCAGTAAAAGCCCTACCTGCCTATCCCTTTACCTCCCCTCCCTCCCCAGGAATAATCATTGTCTTGAAGTTCATGTGTGACGTTCCTATGTATGTTTCTGTATGTCAGTACTTATGAATAAATCCCTACACCGTTGCATTTTATGTTTTAAAAAATATTTAAATGGTGTCATAGAGTGTGAGTCCTTTTGTAGCTTTTTTCTATCACTGTGTTAGGATTTTGAGCTTTAGCAACAGGACACAAACATACCATCAGAAAGGTGGAGATGTGCACTGTGTATTGCACAGATAGAGTTAGTTATTCATTCAACTAAAGTTTTAGTTCACCTGGAGAGTGAGTTGATGGTCACAGTTTTTGCATTTGTAGAAAATGTTAATGATATACAGACCAGACTGGACACCAGAGACTGAAATGAATATAGGGAAAAAGAAAATATGGTTATTTGCACCACAGTCTCTCCATTTCTGAAGGCCAGGTGCTTTCTCCTATAATCCATCCTATGAGGTCACTGATGTGGCTGCGTGACCTTTGGTGATTATACTGCAGAAGTCCAGCGATTGCCCAGGAGGCGGTCTACCCTGGATAGGGTCTAGACTGGTTCTGGGCATTAGGGGAGCTACATCCCATGGCTTCCATCAGGGAGCTCCAGGGCTTCGTTGTGACCCAGCCTGCCCCCGACCCCCTGTAGATCTTCTCGCCTACAGAGAACTACTGGACTTGGCTAGTGTAGATCTGTTCTCTACATGGTGGGAGAGCTGAGGGGTTAGATTTAAGATGTCCATTTGGATTCTTTCTTGTCCTACCCTGTGCCTATTCCCTTGCATGCCTCCTTTGATGTTCTATTCAGTTTTCCAGTCACTGTTCGATAGACTATCTGAGTAATTTTTAACTTTTTGTACATTGTTAAAATAAAGAAACTAAAGGGGTGTTTATCTTCAGCACATGAAACCGAATCACTGATTTAATATCAGATACTTGTGAGCTATTATATATACGCCATCTCTCTCCTCTGTCCACCAGATTACTCTCTGAATGTTTCAAAGAACTCTTAACGTGCAGAAGCTCTCCCGAAATCTATAAAGGGGACCGCACATACATTTCACTTTAGAGGTGCCATTTACTTATTGAACAGTATCCACCAAATTAAATGTTATATTGACCTCGTGGCATTGTCAACTAATTTTATTTCTGCTGCATTTCTAAGTATATTAAGCTAAAAGCAAGTGACTTCATGCAAATTAAACCGCACGGAAGCTTTTCAGGCTATGTTAAAATACTAACAGGTTTGATAAATTTGTCTAACAAGGGTAGGACAAAGAGCTTTTTGTTTACTGACATATTTTATTGTCATTCTGCTGTACATGTCTCTTGTGGCTGTTTTATACGACATAAAATCTAGGTATCCTGTCTGAATATCAGATTTTATTTATAGCTTGCTTCAGAGTGGTTTATTGTCATTTATTATTTCTTATTTGATTTACACAACATCTTTTCACCCAAAAGCACATGGACTTATCTACATAAAGAGCTCGCTTGTGTGCACATGCGTGCGCGCCCCCCAACCCCCCCCCCAACCTTGAACGTCACTCAGTGCTCTGATATAGTTAGTAGTACAGCACCAAAAATCTGTAGGAGACATTCCCATTTGTTTTTGCTCCAAGACCATGTTTTGGGAAGGTATTTCCTTTCATTTTGAGTGTCTCTTGTTTGCTTCTAGGTGGATCGGATCATCTTCTGCGTCTTCTTAGAAGTCGACTTCAAAATCTACAAAAAGAAAATGAACGAGTTTTTCCCTGTAGGTGAGTGAAACGATTTGTTTCCTTTGGAATTAGGGAGTGGAAAAGCAAAAGCATCATTTATATTTCTATTAAAGGCTGTTACAAATCTGATTTGCACATATCAGTCACCCCTGGCAACTAGTGTCATAGTTTTAATGAATAGAAGGAGGCGACAGGAAATCCAGGCTATAGACTTCATCAAGTCACTGTGTTGCCTTGGACAAGTGAGTTCATCTCTGGGGCCTCACTTCCCCACATCAAAAGTGAGGGACTGGACCAAATTACTGCTAAAGATTCTTCCAGCTCTAAATTTCATGATCTGTGATTCTTTCCCTGCACTTGTAAATTTTCCAGTCCTTGCACCTACATCGACCATGTTAACCACCTTGTTGGAAATTGTGAGGATCCCTCGTATATTTGTAGTTCGAGTTCAAATTGTTCCTACATTCCACCCCGTCCCACTAATTTTTTCCCCAAAATTTGCAAGAAAGATAGCAGCCCTTTCTAAAGCAGTCTGAGACCAGTAGTCATTCACCTTTTCTCAGTGTGAATGACTTCTTTTTAGAATGTAAGAGAAACCTCAGAGTTATTAAAGACAATAGATATTTGAGTAATTAATTTACATCGATTACATGTACCATTAGCTGAATTTGGTACTTTGAATATTTCTGCCCACTGTCCCCCTTCCAGCCCCATAAGGCTGAGGCTTGTTTAATGCCTTGTTATTTTTTATGGTGCCATTAAAGTCATAGTGCCAGAAGTGCTTTCCTTTGCCATGCTAAGAACTGCTTCCGAGAAATTTTAAGCCAGTATGAGCATGGTTGGTGCCAATTTTTCTGACAGCTTCATTTTAAAGGTTTGCATCTCCATTGGAAGTGGCTTTTCGTGTAACGGGTGACTCTGGCATGTGGAAAGGGGTGAATGAAGGACTACTGGTACACATTCACCCCTTAACATAGTCACATAATAAAGAGGACACCCTGCCAGCTGATCAGAGTAGGACACAGGTAGCTGCCAAAACAGATGGAGCTACTTCTGGAGATATTCAGTACTGTGCTGGTTTTCAAAATGGCCTGAGTTCTTCTGGGTATTTGAAGTCCTTCTTGCTAATTTTGTAGTTGAAACGTAAATCTTCTAAGTACCTTGAATTTTGGACTTTTACAGTATTTCGTTAACTAGGATATGAGCTTGTAAATTTTAAAGACTCCCATGTGACAGTGAAGAAAGGGATGGTGGTCATGGTCATTTTCTTCTGTTCACCCTTTTTCTCTCCCTCTCTTACACCTTTCTTCACTTTTTAAGCAACTCTGTTTTGCAGAGTGTAAAGCTCATGAAAGCTATTTAATAAGTAGTTGAGATGAGCTGAATTTGATAAATATCCAGCAATAAGTCAGAGATTTTGTTGGTTTGCTTCATCTCCTTGTCCCATCCTTTCTCTTGGTTGTCTTTATAATCCCAGTGAGCAGATTGGTGCATGTATTTTTAAGCCTTCTTCAAAGGAATTGTTCATCATGTAAAAGAACATGATACGCTACTATATGTGATGTAAATATTCTCTATCTTGTCAACATCTCAGCATAATTTATAAGATTTTATATTCCCTGAGATGTTTTGAAATGATCACGTCATATTCATTTTCCTGTCTTCTAAAATAAAAACTTGTTTTCACTCTAACATATGATAAAAAATAACTTCATAATTATGATCCATTGATATTAAAGCAAATCTATCCATCAGTAGGTATTTGCAATGATGAAAAGCTAAAACTCATACTACAAATTAAAAAAAAAGGATAGTTTTTGTGATTGAGAATCTATTAATAACTATGCAAATAAATCAGTATTTAAAGAATTGCTGCTCTGAATAAAACAAAAAATGCATCTCGGTACATCCTTAGTTTCATGTTAGTGCTTTAAGAAGCATCCCCTGCTCATGAAATTATTTCCAGGGCATATTTAAAATAGTAAGTATATTTTAAACTAAATTTTAAAATCTCCAAAATTGTGGCATACTTCTGCAATATTGAGGCACTGTTGTTGTTGTTAGGTGCCATCACGTTATTTCTGACTAATAGCAACCCTGTGTACAACAGAACGAAACACTGCCCAGTCCCGTGTCATTCTCAAAATCTTTGCTATGCTTGAGCCCATCTTTGCAGCCACTGTGTCAATACATCTCATTGAGGGTCTTCCTCTCTTACGCTGACCCTCTCTACCTTAGCAAGCATGATGTCCTTCTCCAAGGACTAGTCCCTCATGATCACATGTCCAAAGTATGTGAGATGAAGTCTCTCCATCCCCACTTCTAATGAGCATTCTGGCAATACTTCTTCCAAGACAGATTTGTTCATTCTTCTGGAAGTCCATGGTATATTCAATATTCTTTGCCAACATCGTAATTCAAAGGCATCAATTCTTCTTTGGTCTTCCTTATTCATTGTCCGGCATTCACATGCATATGAGAAGATTGAAAATGCCATGGCATCTTCACTTTTTAACACTTTAAAGAGGTCTTTTGCAGCAGATTTGAGGCACTAGCCATTTGAAAATTGTAAATATTAAATATAAAACAAAGTTGATCCCTAATGGAATGTGTGACTGCTAATATAGGTGATATAAATTATCTGTCAGTAATTCAGATAATGGTTAATTCATAACCAGATCATCTTTGATTGGAATACAATTTTCCTAACTGGCAAATATTCCTCAGTCTGACTTACTCAAAGTACTTTTAAATAGTGTTCATAACCCTTCCCAATGCAATAATGACAGTAGTTTAGAAAAATGAAAAAGTTATTTTCATATTAAATATTATTGCTAAACATATTAGCATATATACCATTATATATAAACATAGTAAACATTTTTTAAAAATATAATTGGGAATCTGAGACTAAATATATGGGAAAATAGATGACATATGCATAATGACTCCCTAGTATTAATAATAGGAATAATAGCTAACATTTATGGATTGCTTGCTGTCAGCCAGACATATCATTCATTTCTTTACATGAGTTAAACCAGTTAATTTTCATGGTAACTCTACAAAGCTAGGCACTATTAACCCTGTTGTTTTATGTGTGGAAAATGAGGCATACTTGAGGAAATGATGCATACAGGTACGAAGCAACTGAGCAATATTTTAAAATTGAGCACAGCACCTGTCATTCCACAAGCAATAATAGGTTGGTTTTCTCAGTGTCTTCAGAGAAGGCTGGAGTCAACTTCCAGGATGCCTCCAGACCACTGAGAATGCCCTGATCCTAATTCCATTGTCTGCCCATCAATTTTGGAAGCTGCCGTACTTCTCTTTCTTCTTATATCCTGTAAATGTCCTCATGAAATATTTTCTAATAGGGTTGAATTGGTACTTTATCATGGATCCCAAAATCAGGTTCCATCTAAATTATTCTGGCAGCCTGGTTGTCTTACCTAAAGGTGAGCAGGCCTTCCGGCATGGTCATGGAAGAAGATGGAAAAATGCCAGTCATAGAAATGCAGTACAAAAGGACAGAAACCAGCAAATATTTTTTCAACAGTTTTATATCTTGCTGTGGAGTGAAGCACATTTGACTTTTTCCTCCCAGATGTATTATTTGGAAGTAAAGTGTGGCAGCTTTATGGAATTACCATATATTTTGGTTGCAAATAATTTATAGTTACAGTTCACTGTTACATGGCCTGCAGCAAATAATGTTTGTATGATTCAACTCGGAACTCTATTTGTTCTTTACATAAAAGGCTTGAATATTCAATGCATAGGATTAGTTGCGTGCAGTTTTTATTGTAAAAAATGGGTATATTCTAGAATTCCTGATCTGTCATATGGAAGTCAATTTTTTTTATTAGAGTTTAAGTCCTAATAGAGGCTTTAGGAATATTAATTTTCCTCATAGTAACGATATAGAATTTACAGTTTTTTAGCTAAAGTAAAGAATCTTTATGTTGGAAGCTTGAGAGATGTCCTGGTTAACTGACCACCACCCCCCCCCCCCACTTTAGGGAAAGTCTGCATTTTTCTACTGTAGTGGTTCTCAACTAGAGGTGCCTTTGCTGCAGAGGCTACATTACCAATGTCTGGAGACATTTTTGGTTTTCACAGCTGGGAGTACATCTAGTGAGTAGAGGCCAAGGATGCTGACAATGCACAGGATAGCCCACATAACAAATAATTTGTTGTTGTTGCTATTAGCTGCCGTTGATTCAGACCCTCCAACTCATGGCGACCTCATGCACAATGGAACAAACTGCTGCCTCGTCTTGCATCATTCCCATGATCAGTTGTGGATTGGACCATTGCGATGCATAGGGTTTTCACTGGCTGATTTTTCAGAAGTAGATCTCCAGGCCTTTATTCCTAGTCTATCTTAGTGTGGAAGCTCCTCTGAAACCTGCATCATAGCAACATGCCAAGCTTCCACTGACAGACGAGTGATGGCTGCACTTGAAGTGCATTGGCTGGGAATCAAACCCGGGTCTCCCACATGTGAGGTGAGAATTCAGCCACTGAACAACCAATTCCCTCCAACCAGTTGCCGTCAGGTCAACTTAAACTCATGGCAATCCAAAAAAGAATTACCCAGCCACAAATATGAATACTGCAGGGGATGACAAGCCCTGGCCTACTGTAACCACCTCTCTCTTACTATTCGTGCCACCGAGGCAGCCTTTTCCTTTGGATTGGATTTATATCAAAGTATTCTACCTGCTGTCTAGCTGGATGGAAACTCTGGTGGCATAGTGGTTAAGAGCTATGTCTGCTAACCAAAAAGTCAGCAGTTTGAATCCTCCAGGGGCTCCTTGGAAACCCCACTGGGCAGTTCTACTCTGTGCTATAGGGTCACTATGAGTCAGAATCAACTTGATGGCAACGGGTATGGGTACGGGTACAGTCTAGCTGGATTTGTATCCTATGCCCTCAGCCTGGCCCATGGCTACTTGGATTCATGACCCTTGCCTAGTCTAGGGTTTGCACTCTCTGCATTGACTCTGTACCTCCAGATTTCTATGTGTTGGTTT